GTCGGAACGAGTTACGGAAAATCAATTAACAAACGGAGACGTAACAATAAGATGTGTTAAGTCATACTACTTATTGCTTAAAAAAGCTAAAACAGAAATGTTATTCAAATAATCAAACCCAATGAACATGAATAATTTTATTCTTATCTACTTTCAATCTCTATACTGCCACTTGGCATATTTCAGTAAAAAAACAACACATTTTTACATTCATAATTATTAAACATTTTGTTTCTAAATTTTGAGGAATTTAATATTCATTGATTTAAACACTTCATAACAATACCTATCAACAGCGTATGCTTTATCATAAGACATCTAAATATACACATTATTTCTTTTTTCTGTATTTTACACACCAATCAGGGTTTTATCATGCCAAAAAAAATAAGCAAGAGAAGCTTATCAAGAACAGACAACTGAAGGATACATAGTCATAAACCCCAGTAAAGATGTAGCCATAGATAAAATGAAACAATGACCCTTCTCTGCAAAATCAAAAAATATTTTGTTAATTTTCATACACCTCTCACTGTGTATTGTACAGATACAGCTGCTAATAATAGTAAACTGGCAAATGATTTATAAACATAATGAAGTGGTGGGTGGGGGAAACATACAAGTGTTGACAGAACATTAGTCTCTCATGTTGAGGTAAAAAGACAGACCTATGTTCTATTGAAATATGTACTATATCACCCCAAATATAAACCACTTCATTATGCTTATAATGTCAATTTACTATTAGCCTTTTGAATATTCCAAAGTTTAACAACACTCAAACTTATTACCTTTCAAGAACACAACAGCTAATGAAACTATGTGACATTCAAACATAAATTGATACAAGTTTCTAGCCAAAAGATCAGTATTTAAAGGGGTTTGGGAAAGTTGCTGGTACAAATGTATTGGAGAGAGGTGGGGGGTACAAGGTATACAGGCAGTGACCTGAGTGAAACATACTCGTGCCATAATTGCAGACACACTAAAAGCCAAGTGTATTTTTGTGCAATGACAGAGAGGTGCAAATAGGGTTGTTTTGAAGCAGTATAGCATTTTATTATTATAATTATTTATATTTTTGCCATCATGTCATACTGCCTTTGTTTTTCTCACCAGTATACATACTGTCATATACTGTCTCACTTTGACCATTACATTGACGTAACTTTAAAGAGAATCTAATCCAGAACAATTACCAAATGATACATACACTAATATGGATAAGCGTTTAATATAACTATCCTTTTAGATAGCTACAGGTCATCTAAGAAAATAATTTCAATCCACAAAGTTGATGAAAATAGAAAGAATTCATTAAAACTGGTTTAAGAAAAGAGAATTAACTGGTTAATGTGTCAGTCAAACAATTTTCAATGATATTTCATCACATACATCATTGTAGTTTTTAAAAATATATATTTAATGTAAGGGGTAAAAGAAGTATTAAAAACATAAACTTTACTTGTCAATATTCACTTTGTAATATGTAGTTTTTATCTAATAATCTACAAAGGGGTAGAGACTTCGAAATATAAAATGTAATTTTGAATAGTATATAGTTTGGACGAGTATATAAATAACAAAATGGTTAAGATTTTACCATGTAAAATATTGTATTTTGGCAGTTAAGTGAATAACAAAGACACAGAAAGCTCATTATGTGAAACTTATGCAGTTTGAAACAACAGATAAATAGTAAAGGTGTTGAGATTTCAGCATGTAAAATGTATGTAGTTTTTTACGCATGCACGAATCACAGTAATGGGATACATTTCACTACAAATTATTGTTATTTTAAGAAATTAAAAAAAGGTGTAAAAATTCTATTGATTATCAAATCTTAGAAACCAGTATATAAACTCACTCAAGAGATGGAGATTTATTAACAAAAAGTTTTAGTTCTTCAATTTAACCTACTTACCTTATCTTAGTAGAGCTAATATCATTGGTAATCCATTCAGTCACAAGGTGAATGTTCCACTAAATAAATAAATAATTACAACATGAAACATTCCCATTCAATTTATGAACTTATTCATTATAACTCATTTGTACAAAAAATATTCCATACATAGATATTAAAAGAATTTTTAAACTCAAACTATTTTTTCAGAGGACAAGTATTCCAAATACTAAACATAAAAATAATAAAAGTAAAAAATTACTGTCTTATAAGAATATCATCAAGGCATATTCAAATAGCATTCATCCTCAAGTTTTAAAGAAACAGGCAATATTAGTATAATTAATATTGTTGATGAAAGATGTTGATTTTAAGGTGTCAAAATCAATTCTATCTTTCTCAGTTCATATCCATTTAAAATCTCACTTGATACTTGGTGAGCACATCAGATTCATAGATAAATCTCTGGGGGTTGGATCCTTTTCTTGTGATGACCACTAATCCAAAGTTGCCAACAATGTCAGCAATCTAACACCAAATAAAGGATAAAATGGTTAATAACTAAATGTGTGAGTAACAAGTTTAACATACATACATTATGATAATTTTTTATCATATCTTTGATCTGAAAGGGATCATACAATTAACAGATACATTATATTTCCAGTATATAATGATTCAGCTTGATAATATTAGACAACAGGTAGGGTATTCCATTTCTATGACTAAGCTTTGATCATATATTTTTTACTGACCCAATACAGGTTTCCAGTAAGAAATTAATGTAACAAAATTTAAACTACATTACCTGTTTTACTGCCAACAATGCCATGTGCTCAAATTTGTTGGGTCATTAACTGAAATGCTATTTATATTAGTTATTTATGGCATGTCAAGTCTCATGGTATGCTATAACCGAGAAAATGTTGTTTATGAGATATCACTTCTTAATTAAGAAAAATGATACCCAACCTCCAAACATAATCCCTTATTGTCATCACGTTGTTGTTCGAGTAGGAATGAAGTAACAGCATTTCAAATGACACTCTTTTACTCAATTTCCAAAGGTATCTTATTGATCACAGAATTTGTTAAGACAATTGAGTTATAAAATGTAAAATCCTGGTTAAAATACTATATCATACATATACCACTTGTTTTACAAGACATTTTATCTACATTCTCAAGTATCAACTTAGAAACAAACACACACTATGGATTCACTTTAGGATCTATGAAAATATTTAAACTAACATAGCTTGTTGAATACAAGTGCCCTAAGAGTATTTGTCAATTATTATAACAGTGTCTAGCTAATTTTCATTTGTCATCACCAGTTAAGTTGAATGAAGCATTATTCTTTTCTGACTTTACTTGCAGTAATTCATTGTAAAAGTCAAAATATCTAAACATGTTGTTCATTAAGTACATGAACAGTGATGCATGACAGTAGTGTTCGTGTCAGCAGTAGCTAGCAAAGATGCTGGAGGAGAAAACTAGAATAACTAGATCAGCCCCTACAAACAATTGTAAATTATACAAAGAAGTATATTCTGTGTACTATACAAATTATGTTGTTCTCATACATCTGTCAAAAATCTAGAGTAAACAGAAAAACATTCAAATTTTACCATAAAGATTTTCTATAAATACTGATTCAACAAAAGAAGCAAATAAAATGAAGTGCTCAAACTCAATATTAAGACATATTTTACTGCAATTTAATGTCAACATGAATTAACATCAAATTGCCAAAGTTAACCTGATATCTTACTTTCAGCTGAAGAAACCATGTTTCAAAACACTTTAGCTGTAGCCTAATTTATTTATTTTTTTAACTACCATAAATAGCTTCACATGGTGACACTTATATTTTTAAGCTTTCTAACAACAAAGAATACAAGTACAACCCATCAGAGAGTAGGTATGCAATTCTCAAATGAATTTGTGCATACAACTCGCACAGGTGCTTAACTCTTTCACTGTATTACATTCAAAATTTAATTAAACACCTTTAATATCAATGTATGTGAATAAAATTAATATCATAATTTATGTTATGATGCAAAGTTTTATTTTATCCAGTTATAAGTTTTTTATTTCAAAATAAACCTTTAAAACTAATTAAAACTTCAGATGTATTGTCACATGACCAATGAGCTATTAAAAGTCTCTGCTTTGGCTCTCTGTATCTTCAATGATACAGTGGTAGTTGAGTAGAGGTAAGTGTACACAACAAGATCTTTACATAACCTTTTGACTCGCATATTTCAAAGTTCTCTGAATGAATACATTTGAAACAACCCCTGACAGCTGCCACACCCACCTTCAATAGATTTGAGCTTTATAGCCTACATGTAGATGTTATATATGCACATCTATACTCATTACAAAAAACTCATTTTATACTGTAATCTAACAATGGTTATTTTGAAATTGGTATGCAGTTGTCATCATGGATTACATGTAATACTGTTGGCTGCTTGATCAACTATAGCACTTACGGTTGTTTCTTACCTGAATATGTTGTAGTTGGAGATATAGTTTAAATTGTATTTAAGTTTTACTATTATATTTTAGTTAATTAGGTATTAAAATGCATAATTAAAAGGTTTAAACATACATCATACTCTGCATCTGTTCTCAAGGTTTATGATATTACACAATGAATGAAAATTTTGTCAAAGGGTTGAACATGTTTCCCAAAGAAACTGTAATATGCCTCAAGGGCATCATTTATTTGTCTTGAGTAAAGGACAAGAAAGGAAAATAAAACATTAAAAATTAACTATATATGAAAAGGAAAAGGCCTGAAATTAGAAATATAATGAAAGGAAAATATTTAAAGATATTCTACAAAAAATTAAAAGGTATGTATTTTTTTTCTATTTCCTAATATTAATTATATCATTGCATTGTACACTGATGATTAGAGCTAGTTAGTGATATGGTAAGGAAAATTAAAAATAAAATATAAACATATATCTTAAAAAACTTTTGATATCCTTTTAGGAGGTTCTAACTATTATGCAAATGAAATATGAAAACTATAAGTAAAAAAAAGTATTTTTATACTTAAAACGAAAATCACTTTGCACATGATTTGTTAATAGTTTGAGCGCAAATAACTACAATAGAAAAATAACATATTTTTAGTAAAAACAATTATAATAACATCATTTTTTATGTACAAGATAATTATGATTTAAAAAAAAATTCTTACCAGTTTTTGGAAGGATACTTAAAGAAATTTCAGAGTTACTGCATGTATTGTTGTACAAGTGAAATTCACACCGTGAAAGGGCTAAAGTGACGTGTTATGACAGGGAAATAGCAAAAAAAACATTTACTATTTAATATTACAAATACTTGCATTATATTAGCAAAATTATCGATTTTATCAAGACTATATCAATAACCTCTGATTTTCCATAAATTTGAAAGGTTTTCAAATTATTTTCCTAAACTGATTTTATTGTCTGCATGCAAGGCTTATATACAGTACCTGCATAGAGGGTGTGTGAGGGCCGGTGTAAAGTTTTGCAAATTAGATATTGCCGAGGGCAGTCGAGTGGGTGTATAAAGATGGCAACGTTAGATGGCAAAGATGAAGATCAAGAAATAGCTATTTGTGTCAGCGGAGGTATGTATGTTTTGAAATTTAATTTTATTGCCTTTGGCTGCTATATTCCCTGTTTGCTTCACCAACAACCACAACAAATTAAAGATCTAATACTATTCTGTTCAACACAATTTTGTAGAGAACACATTCCCACTTCCTTCAGGAATATCTGAAATTGTAATGAATATGGCCTTTCACATGTGCAGCAAATAGCATATGTAATTAGATTTGTGCATGTGCCTGCATGTGTGTGTGAGAGAGACAACAGACCATGCACATCAAATGAAAATGACTGATTTTGGTAGCTTTGGTTCCTTGAGATTTAATCATCATCATTATGTAATAACTTCTTCACAACAACACAGAAGAGCTGCTAAAACCCTACAATAATAATTATAATTAATAATAAATAGTCTTAATTATGAGAAACAGGCAAACTACAAAATAATTCTATGATCACACTACCCTGGTTCATGTAGTGTGAGCAAAATAAACAAAATATTTCTCACTGTTTTCTTGACTGGGAAAAATTAACCTTATAATGTTTTATCATTACACATTTTGATTTTCCTCTTGTATCTTTAAGTGAGTATCACCAATCACAAGATAATGGCATGAGCTTTCTTTACTTTGTCACCAAGATATACAGGTCCTAGGAATCAAAATATGATGGTCCAAGAAATAAAGGGAAGAAATACAAGGTTCTAAAGTTTCAGGCTTACTTACATCTTCATCCTTCCACAACTTTGGCACTCCAAAAGATTCCAACAAATCTGCACCACAGAGAAGTTTTACTTGAACAGGCTGGCTTAGATCCCAAGTTGGTGAAGAAACTTTGGCTCCAATTGTGTTAGCTGGTTACAAGTAAAATCACAGCATTAATCCTTAAAACATGATGACATAATGTAACTCTCATAATATTTCCTTCCAAAAATAAAACTAGCATATGAAATTGTTCAAAATTCGACAAGAACTGTCCTAAAGGTAGTAAATATTTAATTTTGATTTTTTTCTATTATTAATACTAAACATGCATTATTTATTGTACTACTTGCTCTCAGACCCTGAATAGTTCAAGTGAAAGGTGATTTTCATGTTATGTATAAAAATACTTTTTATCTTACAGTTTTCAAATTTCATTTGCATAACCTCTAAAACCTCCTAAATTAACATATTTATATTTCATTTTCTCTACCACATCACTATTATCATCAGTGTCCAGTGCAATGAAATGTTTAAAATTAAGAAATAAAAATATGCACATATCTATTATATACACCTGGAAAAAAGTTAAGCACCCCCAAATATTTTACAGGATTGCTTATTGAAAA